GTTCCGCAAATGGGTCTTAACACGGGGCGGGGGGGGGCGGGGGGTAGGGGCCGGGGGAATGTCAAGGGGGGGGAAAAAAGGAGACATATGTAATACTCTTTGTAATACTTTAAGAAATAAAAATTATTAAAAAAAAAAGAAAGCAATATGGAAGTTCCTAAAAAAATTAAAACTAGAACTACCATATGACCTAGCTATCCCACTTCTGAGTATTTATCCAAAGAAATCCAAAACACTAATGTGAAAAGATATATGCATCCCTATGTTCATGGCATCATTATTTACAATAGCCAAGATATGGAAGCAACCTAAGTGTCCACTGATAGACGACTGAATAAAGAAGTGGTACATATATATAATGGAATTTTTAAAAAAAATTTTTTTTAGAGAGAGGAAGGGAGAGGGAGAAAAAGAAAAACATTGATTGGTTGCCTCCTGAACGCGCCCTGACAGGGGATCAAATACATAACCTGGGTAAGTGCCCTGATAGGGGATTGAGCCTTCCACCTTTTGGTTTACAGAACAATACCCCAACCAACTGAGCCACACTGGCCAGGCATAGATAATGGAATACTACTCTTCCATAAAAAAGAATGAAATCTTACCATTTGCAGCAACATGAATAGACCTACAGGGTATTATGCTAAGTGAAGTAAATCAGAGAAAGACAAATACCAAATGATCTCACTTATATGCGGAATCCAAAAAACAAAACAAAGAAAACAGAAACACTCACAGATACAGAATAAGCTGATGATTGCCAGATGGGCAGGGGTTTGGGGGGGAGGGGAAAGATAAAGGAATTAAGAAGTACAAATTGGTAGTTACAAAATAGTTACAGGGCTGTAAAGTACAGCATAGGGAATATAGTCAGTATTATTGTAATAATTATGTATGGTGTCAGGTGGGTACTAGACTTATTGGGGGGTATCACTTCATCTATAATAAAAGCATAATATGCTAATTAGACCGGACATCCTTGTGGACAACCTTCCGAATGAAGCCGGGGCTGCGAGGGAAGCCTGGGTCCCAGGTGCCGGAGGGAAGCCGGTACTGGCAGCCAGGGTTCCAGGTGCCGGAGGGAAGCCGGTACTGGCAGCCAGGGAAGGAAAGCCGACTCTTGCACGAATTTCGTGCATCAGGCCTCTAGTAAATGATATAGATGTCTAACGACCATGCTGTATACCTGAAACTAATATAATATTGGATATCAACTGTAATTAAAAAATAAAGAAAATATTCCTTCTAGCTCATCTGAACCGGGAAAAACAAATTAGTGACTTTGTTAATCAAGCAAAGAACATAGGGGTGGCGAAAAGCTCCTTGAATCTGTGCAAGATTTCAGTTTCTTGGAGTTGTGGAAAAGGTTCATAAGGCTAGTTTTAGGGATAGAGCCCATTCAATTTCTTCTCTGAACCTCTGAAATTATACTCCACAAAGAAAAGATACTGACAGAATATGAATACAAACCTTAGGACCATATTTGTTCCCCAAAGAAGACACTGAACACACTGCCTGTTCTAATACAGGAAAAATTCAGACAACAGAAAACACTCCTATTCAAGAAATCTTAAATTAGAAGTAAATCTTGTATGATAACAAAGTTAGCACCTACCTAAAAGGTATTAGTATCACCCCCTAAAATAGCTCAAAAGGCCCTAGATTACATGTATAGTACACAGAATCACAGAACTTTTTTTTACCTACTACCAGGAACATTACAGGATACTTTTTCCAATCTCTTTAATTGAAAGTAGAGCTAAGGATCAAAAGCTAGATCCAAAAGCTCAGATTTTGGCTCAAGTAAAACTTAAAACTTACTTTATGAAGTCACTGGTTTCCTGTTCGCTGTCTTGTGTGGTATCCAAAGAAAAGGCATCTGAGGGTGCAGCCGAGCTGGACTCCTGCTCTCCTGCCAGCAGGGCCTGGGTTCCCGGGGAGCCCCTGCACATCTCCCTCTCCTCCCTGACCCCTTCCTCCGGCTGCTCCCTGGGAGTTCGGAAGTCCTTCTCAGTTCTGTCATGGTCATCTTTCAGAGAGGACTGCTTGGCCTCAGCAAGAGATGCTTTTCCAGAGATATTGAATAAGTTACCAAGAAACTGAAAAAAGCTTTCTTTTGGCTGTCGATCGCTTTCTCCTGTTTTGCCATCTGAAGTAGGACTGGGAAGGTCGTTGGGCTTTTTGGAATCTCCTGGCACTGGAAGAGCGATTAGCTTCTCAGCGTGGTTCCTTCTGTGCTCACTTTGGGGAATCTTTGAAAACAAAACAGAATAACAGGCATCATCACTAAAAAGTAACTCAGACTGATAACCTAATACAGGATACATTCTGCGTTAGACCCAGGGACGTGTTTATGAATAAGACTGGTGCTTTCTGTTCCCTTGGGAAGTTTACAATCTGCTGAAGAGCACAGTCAGCACAACTCTAACAAAGCTACATAGTCAATGTCATGAAGAGAGAGGAACAGCACACCTGGGAAACCCAGCCCAGATCTGGTGGCAGTGAGGGCAGAGGAGGTAACTCAGGGATGCTTCCCGGAGGAGGTGACCCCTGTAGGAGACTGACAAAGTGACTTTTTGATGCTTGTGCATCTTCTTCCCTCTCCTCTTCATCCCCTTCTTTGTGTTTAATATGACTGGAGGTCAGGGTACAAAAAGAGAAGAGTGAGGGATTAAGTATGGGAAGATAAGTAAAGGAACAGATTTTGGCAAACTTTATGTGTATTTAAATATAGCCGTTATTATTACAAAGCTAATGGACACTACTTTCAAACACACGGTATATTAGACAAATAACACCCAAATAGACCTCATCACTTCAGCATTGTGTTAACCCACAAGCTTCCACATTATGTAAAGGTGTTCCTTAAGATGATGAGGAAAGACAGCAACATGGTACATCAATTCAGAGGAAAGCTCTTCATGGTACAACACTAAGTCCTGATATGCATATTAATGCAAACCATGGACAACACAGGGATTCCTGCAGAGTTAAATACTTTCAGAAGTGCATTTTACCTGCCCATAACTAGGTACTAGTAAAACAAACTCATTCATGCATACTCTGTGTCAGGAACGATTAAACTGCTGTATCAAAGAGCAGGCTGGCGTGGCATCGCACACTCTTCCCCAAAGCTTCATTAGCTTTAGGCTAGTATACCACGTCACCCTGCCTTCCAAACATGCTCACAGCTACTTGTAAAAGGAATGTGCACCCGACAGTATCTGTCAGATGTTATGCTCGCTGGTGCTTATAAAAGGAAAGCTCAAGTGTGACTCAGAAAAAGATCAGGACACCAAGGCAAAACCACCTTGGGGCACTGCAGGTTCACATGACAAAGTATTGTAAGGAGTTGATCTTCAAGAAGGCAACAGCCTCGTAATCATAATGTTATTTGTTCATCTCATTCCCTGTTTTAATCCAAATTCGAAAATAGTTTAAAGGAGTATTCCACTAACCACTAATAAACTTAGCCTATGAAAGGCTGAGAAATGTATAGAACCCATTAGACCAGGAAACTAATTTTGAGCAAACAATATTTTAAGTTTGTTCCCACCCTGGGTGTCAGGATATTTTTGAGTAAATACATAGCATTTTCCCTTGTGTAAGGACCTGAACATACTGTGTGAGTCTCTATATTTAGAATATCACCAGCCTTCTGAGGTCACTAAAAGTCTCACCTTTTACTAGTTTCAACTGGAACTTGGTCCCATCCAGCCAACCTTCTGTCATTATGGGAGCCCACACTATAAACTAGCTGTGCCCTTCCTTCACATAAACTGCATAAACAGCCTCTCTGTGTGGCAGGGCAAGATACGCTAGGTCGAAAAAGAAAAAGAAAATAGGAAAAACTAGGACAAATTATTGCAGGGGGGGGGGGGTCGATAGTCTGTTGTTTGCTCAGCCTAGTTACTTACCCCACTCACCCC